AGCAGGTTATCTTCAGAGAGTAAGCTGCTATGGTTACGTACATACCCGGGTATGTCACATAACCTGCTTTCTGGAATACCCCCCTGGTCATTACACCTACAGGAAACATCCCATCCTAGACTCATAGGTAACACTACGGAGTTAGTCCCTCCTTTTCAGCTGTAACAGCTGCCACTCTTCAGGGAAGGGTTTCCACAAGATTTTGGAGTATGTCTGTAGGAAATTTTGCCCCTTCATCCAGAAGAGCCTTTTGTGATGTCAGGCACTGATGTCAGACATGAAGGCTTGGCTCACAATCTTCATTCCAGTTCATACCAAAGGTCTCCAATGGGGTTGAGGTCAGGGATCTTTGCCAGATAAGCTCTTCCACACCACACTCACCCAACCATGTGTTTATGGACCTTGCTTTGTGGACTGGAGCACAGACATCCTGTAACATAAAAGTGCCTTCCCCATTCTGTTTCCACAAAACTGAAAGCATAGAATTGTCCAAAATTCACTTCTGGAACAAAGGGGCCTGACCCAACCCCAGAAAAACAGCCCCATACCCTTATCTATGCTCCACCAAACTTTATGTTCACACAATGCAGTCAGGCAGGTGATGTTCTTCTCACATCCGCCAAACCTAGACTAATCCATTAGACTTTCAGACAGACAAGCATAATTTGTCACTCCACAGAATATGTTACCACTTTTACGTGCTATGCACCTCAGCAGTCAGTGACCCCACTCTGTTACTTTATGTGGTCTGCCATTTCGTGGCTGAGGTGCTGTTGTTCCTAAAGGGTTCCACTTTGGAATAATAGCAGTAACAGTTGACCCAGTTGACCATGGAATATCTAACAAGGAAGAAATTTCACAAACTCACTGCAAAGGTGGCATCTTATTACATTCCCACACTGAATTCACTGAATCTTCAGAATGCCCCATTCTTTCACAAATGTTTGTAAACCTGACTGCATGGCTTAATTTTCTACACCTGTGGCAGTGAGTCTGAATAAAACACCTAAATTCAATGATTTTGAGGCCCAATACTTTTGTCCATATAATTTATGCAATAACTTGCATTGTGTCTAATAAGCATTGAGAAATCCAGAAAGGTTCATAGATGGAGATGAATTCACAGCTTTCTGAGTGAACCATATATATATTATATATATTCTGAGAGAATAGTGTTTCGGTTATCATGACCATGACTAACAAAATATACCTTGTTGTTGGCAGGATTGACCACTGGAACAATGAATTGGAGCGTCTGGTTATCATTACAGAAAACTGTCTGCTCATTTGCAAGTATGACTTTTTGATGTTCAACTGTGAGCAGATTGAAAGGATCCCACTGAACTGTGTGGATCGTGTCTCACATGGTACCTTCATCTTCCCTCAACATTCCCGCCTCTCGTGAGTACCCTCTTTACTGTAATATTGAAAGCATGCTTGTCAGTGGATATGTGTTGGCTTGATGTTAAAAGAATGAGTCATGGAGTATCTGAGCCAGGAAGATACAGGTTTTCCTTCAGGCCTGCACAATGCATGATAATATCGACATTGCATGTTATGAACATACAATTCTCATATCACAAGGACTGTAATAGTCAGCTGAGTTGAGATTAGGCTTGGGTGGTAAAACTGTATTCCCCAGACATATAATGCATATGGTTTTGGGACATGTCTGCTGTTGCCGCAGGTGCCTTATCGTTAACACAGTGACTCAAAAAGTCTTAGACAGATCTTTTCCAAACTGTATGGGTTGCAATTTTAATGATTATTCCTTTTCAAGATGATCTAGTATATGTTTTTTAAAAACAGATCTAAAGTTTACCGCCACTGTTTTTGCATGAGGTCTGTACGCACATGTTCAAGTGAATTGTAATATTTTTTTACTTTTGTGTCCTACTCCGTCAAAGAGTGTGGTGTATTTCTGAGAAATTTGGGGCTGCAAAATTCATTGAGGAACTTGAAAAACTGGATTAGAAAAAATCCTTGATGCAAATTATTTGCTTCGATGCTTCGTTTAACCACTATGTACTGCTCAGTGATGACTGTGTTTCACACAAAGGATTATTACTGTCACACAGTGTGCTTACGCTGCATTACGTGTGGTAGAGCAGTAGAAAAAACACAGAGTTGTGACACTCCCATAGGGACCCATTGTAAAAAATGGCGTAGAGGTTTCTGGCAATCTTCCGTGTCATGGGGATGGCGAAAAGTTCAAAGCGTTGACATTCACGGCATAGAATCACAATCATTTCTCTTGCTTACCAAGCACTTTCAGCAGTATGTTGATAAAATAACAGATTTAAAAAAACATTTAATACATTGTTTTTATATATGCTCAGCATTAGCTGTTAATGTTTATCATAATTAATATGTATGACCGAAGGTAGCTTAGCAGCTATCGAGGCTGACGTTCCCATTTCACTGAGTTTGTCAGTTACTATTCATGGAGCATAACGTTACATATTAAGCTGTTTTGGTTATCAACAGCTTCATGATTACAGTTAGCTGCACTGCTACCATGTTAATACACCTGATTAAAAATATTAGTGTACAGCTGTCCTTGGGTGACTAGGTTCAGTGTGAATTTACTACCAAGTTTATGGCAAAATAAATTACCATAAAATAATTTAAGCTATTTGCCAAAAAAATAAAAAATAATACTGCGTTGCAGTAATGTGTCTGTATTTTTACATGCTCTTTTTAAGTGCTGCATTTGTGAACAGCGCTGGAACAAAACATGATTTTTCACATTATTTCATCTCCCTCATGTTGAATTACTTAGAATATCATTGAAATAAAATAAAAAACTTCTGTTTATCAATAATGACCTATATTTTTTACCCCACCCCTACTCTTTGTCCCTAAAGTGCAAGGTGTGAATGGGACATTGCATATAGTGGTAGTTTTTGCAATGTTTGAATAATTTGCACAATTTAGCTTGTTTTGTGGATAAAGAATGACAATGGATTTTTATCACTAGATAAAATTTTATATATAAAATTTGCTATAATTTATTTTGGGTCATTTTTGGACTCCTTTTTTGCTTTATCAATATTGCAATATTTGCAATTCTTACAATATTGTGCAGCTCTATTATCCAATAAAGGCACTCTTCCCAAGCACAGTCTAATTTTGATATGGGAAGGTTCACAATTTAACAAAACCAACGCAAGTCCTAGGCATAGCTTCTTGAAAACAAGTGTCTTCTATTTCTGATTTACTGTATATTTGAAATTTCTGTAGGTTTTCAAAATTTCCAAAAAGAGTTAAAGGTTTTTTGTAGAGCCTGAACAGAATGGTTGTCTATAAAGGACATGCAGTCACAGTACGTGACTGTGGATGCACGCATTGAGTGGCAAAAAAAAACTGAGTGGCAGTGTTATCAATTTGGATGCCGCTAGAACGCATGTAAAATGGAAAAGAGGTGTTGATTTTTTGATGGACTGCCAAAAACCTACAGTAAGAAAATAGAAGCAAACAAACAACTGGAGTCTCGTCTCTGAAACGTGGATTTGCAATTGTCCTTGCGTGTCAGCTACTGTACAGTATGTTGGATTTTTGGGTGAAATCATACATAAAATTTTATACTCCATTGACTACTGATTAAGTAAATATTTTATAATAATTTATAATATAATAATAATAATAATTTAAGGCCTGTGTAAAGTATTGTCAGCATTTATTGAACATCCGTGATGATGAGCCTTTTATTCTATAAACATAGAGGGGGATTGTTAGATAGTGTTAGCTATCCAAGACAAACCCAGTTTTCCTTATTAAGGGGCTACTTCACAAAGCAAATCTAGACAGAGAGTTAACCTAACAATTTTCTCTAGAAGATGTCAGGAAACCCTGTTTCTGATGACATATCAATGTCTTATGGTCTACTAGTCCTTTGGTAAGGTGTATGGATCCCTGTCAAGTCCCACTGCCTTTAATTTAAGCACAGTCTCCTCAACTAAAATTAGCCATTTCACAGCATGTTTTCCCACTCAGTATGTCTGAAGGGACATGTTCTGTTGGGAAAGTGACATCAATGCATACACTCTATAATGACAATCTGTCATCCAGGTCATAGTATAGCTGGTAGAAATCTCAAGAACAACTGGGCTGACAGTTGTTTGATCAAACCTTTCAACACTTATTTGTAAGGCTTCACCAGTTCATCTTAACTGTGCGGGATGCCTGTGGAATGAACTGTGGATGTAATACCACTATGTCAGACTTTTTAGATTGAATGACAGTCATTTTCCACAATTCAGATGAACTGATGAATGCCTCTTGGCTGAATGAGGAAACGTTTTCATGATCAAACAAAAAATGCAGTTATTTTTGTCTCATTACTGCTAGATTTCTCATTAATTATTGTGTGTTAGAAAGAATGTAATGCATTTTGTTCTTTGGCCACTTGGAGTCAGTGTTTTACTTTATTTATGAAAATTATTTTAAACCAGTGTGGAAGGACATTTTCTTGTGAGGTGGTATAGTTCTGTTGAACCCACATATAATGTTATAATTTATAATGACTAATAGCATCCAGAGAGCATTTTATAAACGTTGAGATTAAACTAGTATTTCTTTTGTAGTTTTATTCTTTAAAAAAAAAAAAAAAAAACTGAATAATAAGTCAGAGACATATTGGGATATTTACTATAGTACATAAAAATGCAAATATGCAGCTCAATATATACTGCCTGGCCAAAAAAAAAGTCGCCATCTGAATTTATATCAGCAAATACTTAAGAGCCAAAGACTGGATCATTATTACAGCTCAGCAACATTATGCAGCAATAAAGTCAGCTGAGTACCTGAATCTACGGAATGGCCATCATCAATGGATTTTTTTTCTTTCCTGTTGACATGGACATATTCCAGGACAAGAATGCCAAGATGCATTGGGTTCAAATTATCAAAGAGCGGATCAGGGAACATGAGGAAACATTTTCACGCATGACTTGGTCACCACAGAGTTGTGACCTTAACCTCATTGAAGGTCTTTGGGATGTGCTGAAGGAGGCTTTATGGAAAATAGTGTGAAGCCGATGTGTGCTATCAAGCAATGTTTATTATTGATGGTTTAGTCTCTCATTTTCATACTGTAAAATTTTTACAAGACGACAAGTCAATATATCATGTATATCTTTCAGCCCTATTCCCTTGGTTAATTTCACCGACCATGGATTTTTTCCAGGTTGTGTCAGTTTTGTGTCTGTGCAGTGGCCTATTACAAACCAACTCCATTTCTCAGTGACAGTGCCATGCCACTAGAGGCTGCTCGTGGTCCGCTGCTGGGCCAGAGACCAGTTGAGAAACACTGACCTAAAGAGTATACACAAACTATAATATTATAGTAGTGTTAAAAGGGTAAAATGTCAAGAAGATTTAGGGTCAGGCAAGAAAACAGCAGGAGACGACAAAAAATTTAGTGGTTGGTAATTTATTCACACACCATCCTAAGTTTTGGTGTCTCCTGTAAAATGCACAAGAAAAAAGGAATCCAAAATGGAAAAAAAACCCATACAGAAAACTCCTAATATAAATACATATAATAATAATTAAATACCCGGCCTTTTATGCGGCTATGAGAGGTCCAATCATACCATCTCTTTTTCTATGCTTGAGTCTGAGCCACATTATCATGGGCCAGGCTGCTCAGCTTCTCCAGTTTGTCACGCATCTTGAGTGTGTAGTTCACAAGGTTAGTCTGAGGTGGAGAGTCACCCCCCATCTAGGTCTCCCTGAGAACATCAAGGGTACCCCTCACCTGCCATCCATAAAGCAGTTCAAAGGGAGAGGAGCCGGTGGATGTTTGAGGAAATTCTCTGTATACAAAGAGGATATAATGCAGCCACTTAACCCAATCAACTCCCGTGCCACACACAAACTTCCTTAAAATACTTTAGCTGCTGTGTAGTGCCTGCACTTCCTAGCATCATACAATACGCTGCACCAAGCTAGTCCCTGATGGCCACCAGGAGGAGACGAACCCATCTGCCCCCAACAGCCTGCCCAGTGGGGAACCTCAAGTGCCCCCCCCTTCAATGTTTGATTGAAACGTTCAACCATTTCATCAGTCTGCGGGTGTTATGGTGTGGCTCTAATGCCCATAATCCCCAACAATGCATACACTTGCTTCAAAAACTAGAATTGAAGTTGGTACCCTGTTCCATAATGATCTTTGGGAATACCCACCCAAAAAATAACTGAATCAAACAATTAGTCACCTGCCTAGCTTTAACATTTCTCAAAGGAAAAGTTTCAGGATGACAGGTGGCATATAGTCACATATAACCAGGATACAGTGGTGGCCTGCTCTACTCTTATCTAAAGGAACAACTACAGTACATCCATGGAAATCCTGGTAAAGGGAACATTTGTAATTGGCAAGTTCACTAACGACG